TGCAGTGGTGCCAGCATAGTTCACTGCAGCCTCCAACTCCTGGACTCAAATGATCCTCCCACCTCAGCCTCCTGAGTAGCTGGAACTAGAGATGTGCACCACTGTACCCAGCCATTGCTTTTTTAAATTTTTTATTTGTAGAGATGGAATCTTGCTATGTTGCCCAGGCTGGTCTCAAACTCCTGGCCTCAAGTGAACCTCCTGCGTCAGCCTCACAATATGCTGAGATTATAGCCATGAGCCACCATGCCCAGCCAAAATTGCTGTTTTGAACTATTAGTCATAGAGGTCATATATTGGCATCTCGTTAAAGTCAGTTACTGTCCATTTGGGGAATTTGTGGTTCCCCGTTTCTATTGTTTCTTGTGATGTATAACCATGTCTTTGCACTAAAGGGTAATTTATTCCAGTCTTCTCTGTCTGACTTGTTTTGGGTTTTATTGAGTATATTTGCTTAAAGATTCTTCACTGCTACATTGCTGCCTCCTTTTCAGCTCTAGGTGGTGCCTTAAGCCCAGGTCCACCTCAGCTCTAGTAGATGGAAGGTATCCTGGGATATCCCAGCAATGTGGGAAGGCTGGTTAGGGGTTTGTGCCCAAAGTATCTGCAGAATGTACCTCCCATATCATGTTGCTGCTGAACAGACACTCTAATTTGATGTCTCCTTTGGCTGAGTTACAGAGCAGAGTTTCCACTTCTGGGGATGGTAGTCCTGCCTCCCGACTTTGCCTTTGCCCATCCTCAGGGATATTTCTCCCTTAAGGGACTTGCAATGTTTCTGTGGGCTAAGACAGGGACAAGTCTCCTGCCAAGGAACCCAAGATGGTGGGGAGCTGGTTGTCCACCTTGATCTCACTTTTTCCAGTGTATAAACTGTGCTTTGGGAGGAAACTTTTTGAATGCTTGGTGCTGGACAGACTGCAGGGAGGGGCACCCTGAACATGGAAGTCTTATTCTCTTACCACCTGCTTGGAGCTTTTGCACTTCTTTGTGACCCTGCAAACTGTCTCATCCTCATATTTCAGTTCTGGGATATTATTGATAGTAATTTTGCTGTTGTGTATTTGGGTTTGGCCTTCTTTTTCTGGGGAAAAGGGGGAGCCAGCTTGCTTCTATGCTGCCATTTTGGAACCAGAAGTCTCACTTTTAATATGACTATTGATATGCTTGGATTTAAGTCTATCGTCTGTTGTACTGGAAATTGGAAGTCTGTTGCACTTCTTAGGTGACTATGTAGTTTTCATAAATTTTGGAAACTTTTGGCTAGTATTTCTTCAAATATATTTTGTCTTCACTCCTCTCCTTTGGAGATTCTACATATTAGGCCACCTGTGGTTGTTCTTTAGCTCACTGATGCTCTTTTCATTAACATTTTTTTTCTGTGTGTTTCATTTTGGATAATTTCTATTGATGTGACTAATCTTTTCTTTGGTAATGTCTAATTTGCCATTAATCCAATCTAATGTATTTTTATTCCAGACATTATAGTCTTCAACTACAGAAATACAATTTGTGTCTTTTTTACATCCTCTCTTTTTAATATGTACTTAACTTTTTTGACACTTGGAATATAGTTGCAGTAATTTTTTGTTTGTTTGTTTTTGTTATTGTTATTGTTTTTGTTTTTGTTTTGAGACGGAGCCACTCTGTTGCCCAAGCTGAAGTGCAGTGGCATGATCTCAGCTCACCATAACCTCTGCCTCCAGAGTTCAAGTGATTCTCCTGCCTCAGCCTCCTGAGTAGCTGGGATTACAGGCACCTGCCACCACGGCCGGCTAATTTTTTTGTATTTTTTAGTAGAGACAGGGTGTCACCATGTTGGTCAAGCTGGTCTCAAACTCCTGACCTCAGGTAATCCACCCACCTCAGCCTCCCAAAGTGCTGGGCTTACAGGTGTGAGTCACCACGCCCAGCCATAGTAACTGTTTTAATGTATTTGTCTGCTAATTCTAACATCTGTGACAGTTTTGGTCTATTTTTGATTTGTTGATTTTTCTCTTCATTATGGGTTATAGTTTTCTAAATTGATCAAGCCTCTAGTAACTATCCTTTATAAGAAATACAAGGGTAGAGGCACATGTTAAACAACATCACAGCAATCAACAAAATGCAGAATGTGAGAAACTCCTTATAACAAACGATCTATTTCTTCAACATAAAAGTACAAGGAAAGAAAAAGGTGTAAGACATTTTAACCAAATGCAAAGTGAGGACGTTGTTTGGATCATGACTGAAAGAAATAAACTACATAAAACATTTATGAGAAAATTGGGAAATTTTGAACACTGTCTAGATGTTAATAAATTATTACTTTAAAAGACAATTTAATGGTTTTGTGGTTGTTTTTAAAAACAGACCTTATCATTTAGAGATGCATAGTGAAATATTTATGGATGAAAAAATAATGCTCCATGTGATTTGCCTCAAAATAACACAAGGAGGGAAAGAGAAGATGAGGGTACAGATGGAACAAATTGGTCATGGGATAATTGTTGAAGTCAAGTAATGGGTGCATAGTAGTTCATTACATTATTCTGTTTCTGTTTTCAATATTTGATGTTTTTATACTAAAAAAATTTCAGATGTTTTCTTGTCTGATAAGACTTGCCCCACTCTCATCCTACACCTCGTAGAATTAATTGTGCTCATGACTGTTCCCCTACCATATAACTTAAACAATTATTTTCAAATCTTTCTCCCTTACTTGGCCATAAGCTCCTTGAGATTGACGGGAGTTTCACTCTCATCACCCAGGCTAGAGTACAATGGAGTGATCTTGGCTCACTGCAACCTCCACCTCCCAGGTTCAAATGATTCTCCTGCCTCAGCCTTCCGAGTAGCTGGGATTACAGAAGCATGCCACCACACCCAGCTACTTTTTGTATTTTTAGTAGAGATGGGTTTCACCATGTTTGACAGGCTGGTCTCAAACTCCTGACTTCAGGTGATCTGCCCGCCTTGGCCCCCCAAAGTGCTGGGATTACAGGCGTGAGCCCATGCCCAGCCCCTGTATCTTCTTTATTTTATATCATTTGTATTCCTACCACCTAGTACAGTCTGGGTACTCAATACATTGTGGTGAATTGGCAACTCTCTACCCCAATTCACCATGGTCCTCATGACAGAGAGACTGACTCTATTGTATTGAATCAAATTTCCAGTCAGGTATTGTGTCCTTTATAAATTCAAGTTATAATGTGTATAAATGTATGGCAAAAGGGCCAAACGAGCCCTAATGTAAAAACACTGGCAATAAAATTATCGAGACAAACCAAGAATCCAGGTTGGCAGGGTCAGTAGTTTTAACATTGTTTTATGGTACGTTGTGTACTTCCCCTTCTTACAGATATGCATTGCACTGTGACCTTTGCAGAGTCCTGTCCTGCCCTGCCCTGCCTTTTTCACAGAATTGCTTAGTCTCAAATAAGATACCATATGCATGTGCAAGTGCTTTTGAAATGGAAAAACAGTAGAAAGTTGAAAGTAAAATGGTCTTTTTCTCTCTAGGGCATCAAGGCATCTCATAGAGCACATTTTAGCTACTGGGAGGATTGACCTTGGGTGAAATTTCAGTAGGTAAAGCTTGTTTAGGGTTATCTTATATAATTTTTTTCTTTCCTTGTGCTATATACATACACACACATATATATGTGCATATATGTACAATGCACATATATACACATACTCATATGGCACCTAGTATATGCCTGGTGCTATGCTAAGTGCTAGGGAGACAGTGAGAACAACCCAGGTGCCCAGGACCTGTCCTCACAGCCCACCTAATTCTTTTAAGTCTTTACATACCTCCCATCCCCTACCCCCATGCTCCTTACTCATGGTATTCAATTTCCCAGTTGATTGACTTATTTATTGTTATTTACATGCTTATATATTTACGAATTTATCTTTTTATCAAGATTTTTACGAAGCTACTCAATTGGAGGTTCCTAATTCTGGAGAAATTTCCATTTTACAAATATATTCTTGAAGAGGGCATGATTATGGACCTGTCACCTTTGAGTACCGTGGCAGTTAGAAGGAGGGCGATTTTGGGATGCCCTTCCAGGCTGTGTCCTTCCAGCTATTAATGAGGTTTTGTTTCAGAGCAGACTATATTACACGGTGTTATTAATAAATCTGGCGAGTGGTTATAAGGGTGTGTGTATTGGAATAATCCATTAAGCTGTACATTGGTTTTATATGGCTGTCTATATTTGTATTTTATTTAACAATTTAAGTATTGTATTTATTTAACAACAGTAAGTTACAAATAAATATCACTTATTTCAAAATTCACACAACTTCTTGGGCTGAGTGAAATGTGGCGCAGGTGCAGGACTCTGGGAAGACAGGAGTGCCAGGGAGTGTCTGGTCAGCAGCGCGCTGCCCTCAAGGGGCCTCCTTGAAGGCCCCTTGAAGAGGGCAACACAACTGATAACGATAACAATAACAACGATGGCAATATTGACAATGATAATAACAGTAATAAATCCGAGCAAGAGACTCGAATCTGTCAAATAGCAGCGACCACCACGAATCGCGAGGCCACAGCGGCTCTCGCGGCGCCCCTGGAGGCCCCCTTCCTGCCTTGGCCAGAGGGGCGGGGCGGAGGTTGGGGGCGGGGCCGGACCGTGGGCGGGGCCTGGCGCGCGGGCGGGGCTCCGGGCAGGCCGCAGAGGGTGGGGCAGAGGAGGAGGAGGGGGAGGTGGGGGCCTGCGGGTGGCTGGGCGGGGCGCGCTCGGGCCTCCTCTTTTCACGCGCCGCATTCGTAGCCCGAGAGTCCGCGCCGCGGGGAGGCTTGGAGGCAAGCGCCGCCCGCGAGCCGAGGCAGCCGCCGGAGGAGGAGCTGCGGGCAACGAGGTAGGCGCGGGGACACCGGCCGCGCGGCCTGGAGCCTTCAGCCCCCTCGTCCCGGCCAGAGTGGGTGGCGAGGCTGGGGGGCGGCGCGCGGCGGCCGGGGCGGGCGGGGCCGGGACCTGGGGGCGGGGACCGGCCTGGCCAGAGGGGCCACATGTAGCTGACTGGGCTGTGGAAGTCGGAATTCCAGGCGGTGCGGTGCCTCTGCGCAGCCGGCTGGTCCCGGGACACGGCTGCCCGGGAGGTGTGGAAACTGCCTGCCCCGGGGGCGCCCGCGGAGGAGGGTAGGCGGGGGCGGCCTGGGCCCTCCCACTTTTCAGGGCTCCTGGGCCAGTTCGCCCGCACAGCCCTCGGGAACTTGTTAACAGGAAAGCCTGGCAGAGAAACAAATGCCAGCGTTTTGGAAGAACTGAGAGTCACGTCGTTAGGCGCTGAGGCTTTCTTTTCCTTCCCCGCCCCCTGCCCAACCTCGGCCCGACTTGGCCAAAGAAGGATGTGTCACCAGCTCTGGGCCGCGGGCGGGATTCCCGGCCCGCCAGCAGCCGGGGTACCTGAAACAAAGGTAAACGGAGGCCGGGCGGTCCCTGGCACTGCACCGCGGCCGCGCTGGAGCGCCTCGGTGGGTCTTTCCCGCCGCGACCCCGCCGCCGCCGCGGAGGGGCGTTCTCCTGGGGGACCTCTCGATGGAAACCAGCTGGCCAGGCTTGGAGTTGATGTTGCATCCGAACTCTGTTGTGCTCACGTTATTCCCAGTCCTCCCACTCTGGTAAAGCTTAAGGAAATTTTATCCAGTCTTGGTGGTCAGCAAATGTAGGGGAAGACAAATTATTGTTTGTGAATTATAAGGTATTTTCTAATTAGGAAACGACCTGAAAACATTAAATTCTTAACACGTAAGCAAAAAAAGAGTAATTCCTTCCAACATCTGAGGAAGTGTTACTCCTCAAATCTTCATTTATGTACAAAACATCCCCCACACCTTTGGTGCCAGGCATTTTTCTTTGTTCTTCCTTAGTCTCAGGCCTTAGTTTCTTGTAAACAGAGAACCCAGCGCCTAGACCCTAAGAATTGCCATACTAGGTCAGAGCATGGGCGTCCTGTTCGGTAGGCAGCCGGCTTGTGTTGTAGTAAAACAGTTTTGTTTTGTTTTTTTCTTGGTGATTTTGTTAAAAATTATCTCAGTTTCTTTCAGTAGTATCCATGAAAGCCTTTTAAAAAATTTCTAAGCCACTGCTAATTTACACACACAATTTATTTACTTTTATTGCATCCAAATGGCCCTTGTATCACCTCTGGCAGAACTTAATGGCATGAGATACTTGTGGAAAAAAAACTTAGATCTCTTATACAATCTAGGAGCTCAGAAATCTAGGATATTTCTAGGAGAACGGGAAACAGATCAGAAAGGTTTTTTAAAAACAAAGCTTTGGGAAAGTGTTACTGGGGCCAATCTGGGTGTTGAGTTCAAAAATATCTTTATCCACTGACAACCTGAACATTGAGCAGTTAAAGATTTATTTGTACTCATAAGTATTTGCATATTTTAAAATGTAGCTTAACATTCTGGAGAGTGAAGGGCCTGAGTTTATCTTGGGCTGAATTAATTTGGCTTTAATGTTCAGCTGAAACCAGCTACTCTGAGAGAATGGAAGTTTTGTTTCAGCGAGAAAGGAGAAAAAGAGGTGGATAATTTTGGAGTATGGGGTACTTGAGGGGGGCACCTGTTCAAATCATAACTTTGCTTTTAAACTCTTCAGAGACTCCTCATTGCCTCTGACAAACATAGTCCCCACTGATCTGGCCCTTGTTACCTTTCAACACACAACTGAAGCTTTACCTCTGCCCTGAAGCTTTGCTTGACACCCCCCATCCCCCCAAAATCACCATTTTTAAAAATCACCACCCTCAGAAGTGCAGTTGACAGCTGTTTTGAGTGTTATCGGCCTCTGAGTCACAGATTCTCATTTGTAGTTCTGTTGACATTTTAGGCCAGGTAATTTCTAGTTGTGGAGGGCTATCATGTGCAGTATAGGATGTTCAGCAGCATTTCTAACCTCTGCTGAGGAATGGATACCAGTAGCACTCTACGCACACAGTTGTGAAAATCAAAAATGCTTCCAGACATCGCAAATGTCCCCCAGGAGGACCAAAATCACCCTTAGTTGAGAACTCCTGTTGTGAGCAGACTGCTGCCTTAGCACTAGTGACGCAGCATTGTCCTCTTTTGCTTAGGTGTTTACTATACTAAGCTTGAGGGCGGGAACAGTTACTCATTTATTTAACAGATTTCTGAAGGCCTGTTTTGCCAACTGAACACTAGGTTAGGTATGGAAATAAATTAGTAAAAGCAGCTCTGCATGCCTGGACCTTATAGTCTAAAGAGGGTGACAGATGTATAAACATACATTTATCTCATTACGATTGTGTTAATTTCTGGGAGAAGTACAAGCAGGTCTGAGTGCATAAAACAGATGTCCTGATGTAGTTTGGAAACTGGGAAGAGTTTCCATGGGGAAGTGACCTTTGAGGTGGACGGTGAAGGATAAACAGGAGTTACTAGGTGAAGCTCACAGGAAGAATATTCCAGGCAGAAGGAACAGATGTGAATACCTTGAGGAAGAAAGGAACAGGGCCGCTTTGGGGAACCTAGAAGCCAGAAACACGGAGAGTGATGACACAAAATGAAGCTAGGAAAATAGGTAAAGGCTGTCCACCAGCAGTGGTTCTCAGTCCAACCTTCTCATCAGAACCACCAGAACTTAAGACGGATGCCTGGGCCCTCCTCCATGCCTATTAAATCAGAGCATTTTTGGTGGGTTCTGCTCCCTCCCCCAGCCACCATTTTCCCTGTCTTCCAAAGGAATAACCACTGATACTAGTTTTGTATATCATTATAGACATTTGTTGTGGGCATTCAAGGAAATGCATATCTTTCCTCTTAGTGTTTTACACAAATGGATGCATACTGTACACTCTGTTTTCTTAATGTCTTGGGAATCTTTCCACTTCAGTATATACTTTCCTTATTTTTTCTGAATGACTGTACAGTATTTCACTGTATGGATGTACCACAGATTATTTAACCATTCCCCCACTGACAGACATTTAGATTGTTTCCAGTACTTTACCATGAACAGTACTGTGACTATGCCATTTCATATGTGTATAAATATATTTATAGGCTAATTCCTAGAAATGGAATTGTTGGGTCAAATACACAAACACATATATTTACAAAAGTATATATTTATGTAATGTGTGTATATGTGTATACATTTGTAATTATTGGTGATTATAAAAGATCATTCTGGTCATATTAGAATGGTTTGGAAGGAAACAAGATTGAGTGTGGGAGATAGCTGTCCCTAATTAAGGTTACTGTGGGTAACATAGGAGAGAAAATGTGGTGGCTGAGAGAAAAGAATGGTCGTATTGGAGATGAAGAGAAGTACATGTATTCATTAGATATATTTAGGAGGCGTAATTAATAGGATTTGGTGGTTGATATGGTACAAGGGTTGAGAGGGAGAAATGAGATCCTAAGATGACTCCCAGGGTTCTAGCTTGCCCAACCAGTGAATGGTGGTGGTGTTACCTGAAATAAAGAACATTTAAGCATAAACAGTTTTGAGATGAGTTTAAATCACAGTTTACATTGGGACTGCTGAGATTTTTCAAGTGAGAGGTCACATAAGCATTTGGCAATTCTAATTCAGAGCCGTGAGCAAAGGGCTAAACTGGAGGCACAAATTTTTAGGTGTAAATTGAAGGCTGTGGACGAAATTATCTAGGGCAGTGGTTGCAAAGCAGTAGTCCACAGCTGAATCTGACTCACAGATGTTTTGCCCATACAGTGGTTTTGTTATTGTTTATTTTTGAATTAGTTGCCAATATTTTAAAATCTGAAGATTTCTCATGAAGAAAATCCAGATTTGGGGTTCCTCTTTAAAAATGAGAAACTGTAGCACTACTGAGTTGGTTTTCCAATATGGCAGCAATAATTGGAGCTAAGTCACAGATGATAACAGCTCTTCTATTTCACTATGGAGCCCACCACTCCCTGAAATTATGCCTGGCCCACTTTGCTCATTTGTTTCTCTGACTAGGCTTTTGAGCATGTGATCCCTGGTCTGGGAAGAGAGCATAGAACAGTGTTCTCATCTTGGTTGCACATTGGAATCACTGAATGATTAAAAAATGCTAATGCTGTGGTCCACCTAAGAAATTTCTTTTTCTGTTTGCTTGATCTGATTTGCAGCCCTGGACGAATCTGAGGTGATTCCACTTAGCAGTGGAAGTTGAGAACCACTGACAGAGATTAAGAAAAGAGGGCTCAGGCCCAGCATGTTGAAGTTCAGTAGAGGAGGATAGCCCAGGAAGAGGATGAGAAGTGGCCACAGAGGTACAGTGGAATGACACCTTGCTCAGAATTAAAGTGTGCAAACTTAACTGAATGCACTTTACCATGTTTTTTATTAAATGAGAGAGAGACAAGTTTTCTTTACTTGTATACAGGTGTGCAATATTTAACGGGCCATTTAAAGGATTTTCAAGAGTAAGCAATATTTGGTTTTTGTCTTAGCTGTTTCCTTCACAATCTAATTCTAGTTTAAGATGCATCATAAAAGGTAGGAGAAGAATGTTTCAAATAGAGAGGTGTCATCAAGTAAAGATGTGGACCAAAAATGATCTGTTGAATTTAGCAAGATGGAGCCTTTGACCTCAGCTTTAGATTGGAAGAGGCAGAAACCAAAATGAAGTGGGTAAAAAGTAAGGAAATGGGAGTGTCAAGTGTTGGAAATTCCTTTGAGAAGCTTGCCCAAAAAGAGGAAGTGGTGAGGGAGGATGATGTGTCTTACATGCCTACATGGTAGGTGTTAGTCTGTTGGTTACTCAAACATTTATCCTAACTTTTTAGGGATGTAGGTCAGTGGTGTCTGATTACCCATCTCCCACATTCTTAGGGGGTCTTGTTTTGGAGACTACTTTTTACTAAGAAATTTTGCCAGGACTCTTCAGGCTTCTGAAGGGGCTGACTCAGATGTTGGTGATTAGGCCACAAGTTTCTTTCTCAGCTGGAAAGTGGTAGAGCTCCTAAAGGCCAGCAGTGATCTGGGCTTCAGTGACCCTGACATCATCCTCCCATTGAACTGATGAACAAAGACTATATTGTTGGTATGCTGAAAATGGAATACTTGGCTATGTTAGGGAATGTGTATCTAACTGTGAGATTCCCAGGAATAGTTTTTGCAGCTGTATTTTTTCCAATTAACTTGATATTGTAGCTTGATTTTCCAGTTGCATGCATGTAAAAACTTTCATACTTTGAAGTATTTATCATTGATGGTACCTGAGGGATATGGATGTAAATTGGAGATGTAGGCCCTCATTGAGCTCAGAAAGAAGAAAGCACTGAGCAGACTGGTTTCCAAAAAGTTATGTGAAGGCTTCTACCTTGAAGACTTGGGGTTAGAGTGACTATTTAGGATGGATTGTAATGCAAATGGTCATAACCAGTTTGTCTTTTGTCCATTTCTGCCATATTGGCAACCTTAACCTGGCAGAGAGGCTTTTAAGGTCAATTTTGTGCTTCATATTTCTAAGAGTTGTAGCCTGCCAACAGAACAGAAAATATAAGGGGTGGAAACGCCAAGAATTACCGGTGAAGAATGGTTTTGATTAATTGAAGGCGTAAACCCCATTGCTATACTCTTTTGAAAACAGGAATATCGTCTTGTGAGGGAGCAGATTTCATAGCTGTCACTGGTTTATCAGTTAGGTGGATGATGGTTAACTTCTATATAAAGGATGACTGTGACATGGAGGCAGAACTTGGTCCAAGATGGTTTGTAGTGGGAGTCCATTATAAGAAAATTTTATTTAGAAACTTGCATATGCTTGGACAGCTGTGGAAATTCCATCATCACAAATATGGTTAGGTACTATGCCTGGATGGCAGTATATAGAGGCAAAGTCCATTACCAAGGTGGTCCAGAGCTCCTTTGGTTTGTGGAGGAAACAGGATGGCTGAGTGGGGAGAGGACTTGGAGTTAGTCCCTTAGTACAGTGCCTGGATTTGTCAAGCGTGAACTGTGTGGTTTTTTTTTTTTAATTGAGGTAAAATTAACAATTTTGAAGTGTATAAATCAGTTACTTTAATATGTACATTCACAATGTTGCGCAGCCATCACCACTATCTAATTCTGGAACATTCTCATCACCCCAAAAGGAAACCCCGTACCCATTAAGCAGTCACTCGCCATTCCCCTTTACCGCTACCATCTGGCACCCACCAGTTTGCTTTCTGTCTGTATGGATTTGCCTGTTCTGAAGATTTCATGTAAATGGAATCATACAATATGTAACCTTTTGTGCCTGACTTCTTTCATTCAGCACAATGTATATGAGGTTCACTCAGGTTGTAGCATGTATCAGTACTTCATTCCTTTCTTTGGCTGAATAATATTCCATTGTATGGATATACTATGTTTTGTTTATCAGGTGAGGTTTAGGTTGTTTACACCTTTTGGCTCTTATAAATAGTACTGCTAAGAGCATTCTTTTACAAGTTTTTGTTTAAATACCTGTTTTCAAATCTTTTGTGCATCTATCTAGGAATAGAATTGCTGGATTATGTAGTAATTTAAAAAGTTTTTGAGGAACTCCCAGACTGTTTTCCACACATGCTGCACACTTTTACATTTATTCCAGCAATTTTTGAGAATTCTAATTTCTCCACATCCTCACCAACACTTGTTGTTTTCTGGTTATAGCCATCCTAGTGGGTGTGAAGTGGTGCCTCATTGTGGTTTTTATTTGTATTTCCCTAACGACTAGTGACGTTGAGCATCTTTTCATATATTGGCCATTTGTTTATCTTTGGAGAAATGTCTGTTCAAGTCTTTTATCCATTTTTTAATTGGATTGTCTTTTGTTGTTGAGTTTAAGAGTTCTTTACATATTCTGGATACAAATCAGGTTTATGATTTGCAAATATTTCTTCTCTTACTGTGTGCTGTTTTTTCACTTTCTTGTTAGTGTTCTTTGCACAGAAATTTTTCATTCTTGTGAAGTTGAATTTGTTTTTTCTTTGATTGTGTATGCTTTTGGCATTATATCTGAGAATCTATCACCAAATCCAAGGTCCTGCCAGTTTACCCCTGTGTTTTCTTCTGGGAATATATAGTTTTAGTTCTTAACATTTAGCTATTTGATGGATTTTGAGTTAATTATTGTATGTGAGGTAAGGATTCAACTTCATTCTTTTGCGTGTGAATATCCAGTTATCCCAGCATAATTTGTTGAAAGAGCTGTGTGATTTTATGCAAGTCTGAGACTCTTATTTGTAAAATGAAAGTGATAAAAACACTTGCCTCACAAAGTTGTTGTAAGATAAGTAGGAGAGGATATATGTGTTACCGCTTTGAAAAGTATATATCATTAAACAAATACTCATGATTATTATTGGCATGCCACATAGAGCTTTCATTTGGTCAACGCCCCATAGATTGACGTCCTTCAGAGACCACCAGACGTCTTCCCTCTTAGTGCATAGTGAATCACGACGTAACTAGAGGACTGATATCCATGTTGTATCCCTAGGTCCAAAGTCACAGGGCCCCAGATGCAAGAGGTAGTTGGAGAGATTGCAGCTGTCCAGAATTGAAAGTATATTTTCTTGTAGGGCATGTGTTTGTTGAATTCTGTTGCTATTCCTCTGAAATTGAGGAATGTCTATTCTAGGTGTTTAAAGGCCCTAAAGAGTTTTCAGGCATAGTAGGAAATTAAAAGGCAGTTTCTTCTTATTGGACCAAGAATCCTCATGTTTCGCTCTATCAGCTTTTAAACTTCTAGAACTAAGACTGTTTCAATGGCTAGTGATCTCACTTAGTTCAGTCAACAAATATTTATTAATTTATCACTATGTGCCAGGCATTGTTGTAGATACCGGAGATACAGTGCCTTTTAATACAAGACCAAACTCTCTTGACTTTGCATTCCTCTCTTAATGTTTTCTACAATTATCTAACTCACTGACTCCAGTTCCTTTTCCACCAGTCTCTCAAGTCCACATTAATGAGGCCCCTTCCCCCACTGAAGCACTCTTGTCAAGATCACCACTGCCCTTCACGTTGCTAGCTCTAGTGAATCAGTTCTCAGTCTTCCTCTTACTTGACCTTTCAGCAGCATTTTACACAGTTGATTATTCCTCTTTCTTTGAAACGCTTCCTTCACTTAGCGTTGCTGCATTCTCTGCGTTTCCCTCTCACCTTTTTGGAGGTTTAGTCTTTTTGCTAGTTCCCTATGATCTTCCTGACCCCTGAAAGTTGGAGCAATGCAAGGCTCATTAATACTCCATTCTTCCTTATTGACTCTTACTTCCTTGGCATTTCAGTCAGTTTCATGAGTTTAAATACCATCTATACAATAACTACATCCTGACTACCAAATGTGTGTCTCCAAGTTAGGAAATAACTTGCAGTAACGTCTTTTCCTTGCTTATGTCCTTCTCTGACTGCCTATTCCCAACACAGCAGCCAGAGGAATCTTGTTAAAAGTAAGTTATCCACTCAGAGGCTTTACGCTTTCCTACAAGGCCCTTATGTAATCTGAACTACTCTTTGTCTTTCTGACCTCATCTCTTACTACTCCTCCCTGTACTTGCTTCGTCCCAGTCAAAAAGGGGACTTTTTTCTTCTTCCAACAAGCCAAGTATGTTCCTTCCATAGGACCTTTGTTTCCCCTAATAAAGCCTCCTCCCTCGTTCTCTATCTCCCTTCCCTATCAAACTCAGCTTCTCAGCACTTTGGGGTAAAAGGGAAGAGTATTCCTCTCACCCCAACCCCCTAGACTGAGCGCTAAAGCTATCCCCTTCCTCTTGTTTGTTTATTCATCTTATACTTTCATTTGAACAGAGTTCCTCCAGTTGAAAAAGCAGCTTGAAAACTTCTTCTCTGTGAGATTAGAAATAAAAAGCAGAGATTAGTGGTTGTGAATGGAGATGTCATTGAGGGCTTAGGAATCCTAGCAAGGGCCACTTATCCCTTCCATTTTGTAGATCATAGGCGTATTTCCTATTTTACGGCCTTGGGTATTGGGCCCTAGAATACTGCTGTTGTGAGTACTGATGTGCTTCTACCAATGCCGAGTCTTCCATCAAGCACTGTGGCCCAGTTGTTAGCATTTTGTCTTCTCATCTTGGCAATCTTGGTATTCTTCTAGTAGAAGGTAGAGACCCCTTTCCCATGGTGGGCCCTCCTCGATGAGAGAAGGCTCACTGGATGCTGACAGCAGTATTGAGATCCAAGTATTAAAGGCAATTGAGGGTTCTTTGTAATGAAGAGAGTGTGTTGATACTACTGAGAAATGCCCCAGGCCTTAAAAGGGCAAACAGGCCACAGC